ACACAGATTCAAAGATTACGCATGGAACCCTATCCAGGCGTACAATGGCTTATTCCAACCAACATGACTGCCTCAAAGCCACCCCAGTTCAGACTCATCTTCTTCATGTCAATCGGGTGAGATAAGTTGTTCCGACTGAGGCTGTGTCAATTGGACGCCAATGGCAACTATGACGGGTAGATAGATAATGGGTGCATGGAGATATTAATCTCCCGTCCATGAGCACCTACAGAATATGGGGGTTCTCCCTTTGTCGGATATTGGGGTGGTTTGGTGGTCCGATCGTATCATGAGATCTACCGTCTTTTGGGAACACGGGACGATGGCGTCCAATGAAACCACGACATCCTGTCAGACTGAGAAAACGTTGAGCCGTCGGGGATGTGGTTATTCCGAGGGTCAGGATGAAGGATGAAGGACATTCGGTGCCTGTCGATTTGGATGACGTTTCGAGATTAATTAATTGATGGATGCACTATTATGATGCATTTTCAAATTGATCTGCGGCCTCCGTACTCGTATCATAATGTCTGTTACAGGCTAGCCACCTTCCGACCTTAGTTCCCTCTTGTCCAAGGGAGGGCGTAAAAAGGTGATAGATAGGTAGGTACCCAGATAGTGCAAACAGGAGCCAGCCAGTCCAGGCAATGTTACTTGTGTCCAAAATGCACAGGAACAGAATATGACATATACTCTAGCATGCTTTTTGTCCGAATGCCATAGACTTTTACAATAATACTACCTATCTATGCACCTATCTCCGAAGAAACAGTCAGAGTCAGTTCCCTCCTTCCATAACTATTCTTACAAGGGTCCGTCATGACTATCGGTTAAGGCAGCAAAATGAGGCTAAGGCAGAAGAATTGTTCATTCAGTCCAACACCACTTACATCTATCTATCTACCTACCTCAGGTCTTAGGTATAGGTACTACAGAGCACCGAGTAATAGTACACAAAAGGTACTCATCAACTCTTCTTAGATATTATAGTCGTTATATTCCTGGCTTCATGTCAATTCAGTACAACACATCCTCTTTGGTAAATCTCAACAAACGATAAAATCTTTTAACTCTGTACTAAATCTGGTCTTGTCCGTAATCTGTTGGTGCCAGCATTAGATCTGCTGACTCCATTTCCGGGCGGACATGACGACACGAACAATCACGACATCGTCGACCTGCAAGGGACCGCTTATCTTTTATGGCAGCTCTCTCCAGGTGTGTGAGACTTTTGCGGGGGACACGGGACAATCACAAATGCATTCAGCCTCTGTACCTAATAAGAATTGTGTTGCAGCCACACAAAGAGCTCGGTAAACAAGAGTTTGTACACACCAACAGAACAAACCCTTGCACGGGATGTCGGTCATGGATTCTATTTGACGATCACGACTTGAGCTGATGCACTGATTCCAAAGCAAACGGCGGAGTTCTCGTTATCAGATAAACACAATGTGACGCGAGTTTGTAGGCACCTAGGTTACTCGAAAACGTTGCGGCCATATCGGCTCAATACTCTCTGTATATCACCGAAAGGAGTAGGTACTTTAGGTAGGCATCCTGGTGGAACTACCTGACCTACCTATGGATGGGATGTCAGACATGGGGCGGCTTACAGCCAGCGAGAACCGTACTATCTTACCAAAGATAGGTTCTCCCTTCTATCACGACATCGAGCACATGATGCGCCAGAGCCTCACCGATCAAAGGTTCTCTGTTAGCTGAGCTGACTAAAACGCTTGAAGACTTTCCTCCGTTGTCTCTCACGGTGAAATGATGGATACAAGAACACCCCCCTCCACTTATCGCCGAAAGGACCGCATCTGCCCGTCGCAGACCCGACAGACAATAGGAAACATCGAATGGTATTCGCGCGCCTTGCGCCAGGGAAATAGGATGATACGAAACCCATATATGTAAGCCATCAAGGACATACCCAGGGGAGGGGACCTTTGTTGCTGCAGTGGCGCCAAATTGCCATGGATAGTAGATGATGAAAAAGGCGTATGCTTCTGTAAGCAGCTTTCCTAGGTCACATTTGTCATTGAGTCCAAGGAAATCAGCTCGGGCACGCCGCAAGGTTACCCAAACAGGCATTCACCTGTCAAACCGTCAGTTACAGTCCATACATTTTTGGGCAGTGTGCTTCGGCCGTTTTCCTTTCTTTCTTTCTATCCTATGGCACTCTAGCGGATGACGAAAGGCATGAGAGGCGGCGCCATCCGGGCCATCGGCCAGAATACGATCAATGTACATGAGATATCACCAACTCTGAGATGAACTTTGGTGGAGGGGCAAGTACATATGATGTATACCGATTGAGTCTTGTGTAATCCATTTCCTCGTTGTTCTACCTTCCGGTGTACCTAACGTATCTATTCGACTTACAAATGTTTGGAATGGAGCAAGCCAGAGAAGAAGTCAATTCATCTAATCCAAGTGTGTAATCCAGGCGCTAGAAGAAATGGAAATTTGATATAAATCATGAGAGCCCATTTTTTCCTTCGCTGGACCCTTCCATGATTCCACAATCCCAGCATCCCAATCTGTCTAACTGATCCTTGCCCTCCGCTTGGTCTTGATCCTTAAGCCGACGATATCTGTCTGTACTTTGTACACCGAGAGCCGATACCCGACCACGAAAAAAACACAACCCAGCCAAAGTTGCATATTTTTTTGGCACACGAGTCACTCACTAATCAATTCTTTTTACGGTTATTTACTCTGTGAACCGTACATCATTATTAATCTACTGAGTCAATTTCCCCGACGAGTTGGCATCTGATCATCGTCTTTTTGATTCTTGAAACTCTCGATCCCTTGCTCAAGAGGCTGCTGTGACGTGATCGTCAAGGTTTCAAACCCACCTCTGCTCTAGACCTCTGAGACTTTCTGCTTGTCTTATTATCGACGACACGACATTGCTCCTTCAGGACTAAACTCTACGCCCTCCGCCTTTTGCGCATCATCTCGACCCTGGATCGCGTCAAACCGAGGCTTCCCTTTGTTTCTCTGTATCTCACTTGGCGCAGCAGAATTGCATCCAGTACCTTACCTAGCTCAGGTACCTAGCTCTGATATAAAAAGGGTCCCCTCTCACGTTCCCCATACCTATTACATTACACAACAGACCAGGGCAACACAGGAAAAGGGAAAAAAGGCTTTTTTTCCCTCTTTTTTTACCCTTCAGCCCCGCCTGGACCTCCACTTGCTTGTCGCTAGAGCCCAGAGTTTATATCTATATCAACATCTCTGTCACCACATCCATCCCACCTCAACCTCTCTTCCTTACTTCACCTCAACTCGCCGACTTTCTCCAGCTTCTCTTCGACCTCGTCTCTAGATCCTGTCGAGGCTCAATTATACCCCTCTCCCTCTTTCAGACCCTCAGTCAATCCTCCGCTACAATGTCGGCTGCTCCTCTCAACTCGGACCCTGTGGCCACCCCACCTCGCCCTCCGTCCCCCGTCCACAGCTTCGGTACTCTCGCCGTCCACGCCGGCGCTCCACATGACCCCGCTACCGGCGCCGTGATTGAGTCCATCTCTCTGTCGACCACATTTGCTCAGTCCGCCGTTGGCAAGCCCGTTGGCGAGTATGAGTACTCCCGATCCTCCAATCCCAACCGTACCAACTTTGAAACCGCTGTTGCTGCTCTCGAGCACGCCAAGTACGCCCTCGCCTTCTCCTCCGGTTCCGCCACCACCGCCACTATCCTCCAGAGTCTCGCTGCCGGCAGCCATGTCATCTCCGTCTCCGATGTCTACGGAGGTACCCACCGATACTTCACTCAGGTCGCAAAGGCCCACGGCGTCAAGGTGACCTTCACACCAGAGATCGAGGTCGATATCAGCGAGCACATAACCCCCGATACCCGTCTGATCTGGATCGAGAGTCCCAGCAACCCTACCCTGCGCCTTGTCGATGTCCGAGCTGTTGTTTCTGAGGCCCACAAGCACGGTGTCCTCGTCGTTGTTGACAACACTTTCCTTTCCCCTTACGTCCAGAACCCCCTCGATTTCGGTGCCGACATCGTTGTCCACAGTGTCACCAAGTACATCAACGGTCATAGTGATGTGGTCATGGGTGTTGCTGCTTTCAACAGCGACGAGCTCAAGAACCGTCTGAGCTTCCTTCAGAACGCCATTGGCGCAGTTCCCTCAGCATTTGACTCCTGGCTTGCTCACCGTGGTCTGAAGACTCTGCATCTGCGAGCTCGTGAGGCCAGCCGCAACGCCGACGCTGTGGCCCGAGCTCTCGAGGCTTCTCCTCTAGTCATTGCCGTCAACTACCCGGGTCTTGACTCTCACCCTCACCGACATATCGCCAAGAAGCAGCATCGCGATGGTCTGGGTGGCGGCATGCTCTCATTCCGCATCCAGGGTGGTCACGCTGCCGCTGAGCGTTTCTGCCAAGTGACGAAGATCTTCACTCTCGCTGAGAGTCTTGGTGGTGTTGAAAGTCTGGTCGAAGTTCCCAGCAGCATGACTCATGCCGGTATTCCTCGAGATCAGCGTGAGGCTGTCGGTATTTTCGACGACCTTGTTCGCATCAGCTGCGGTGTTGAGGACGCCCAGGACCTTACCAATGACGTTCTCCAGGCCCTCGAGAAGGCTACGTCCGCGGCCAAGACCAACGGTTTCAACGGTAACGGCAACGGCAACGGCGTCAACGGCTCCTAGGCGCATGTCCTAATAGTTTTTCCCAGTCGGTTTTTCGTTTATTAAGAAGATGATCTATGATGACATGTTATGAGAATTATTTCCTTTGTTTGAGGATGCTCTAAAAGCAAATAAAAAGATAGGGGTGTGCTTCATTCAAAGGCCCCCTGGGTTGGCATTTATATAGCGGCTATGGTCAAAGCTGATGCAAATCGCATCGCTTTGTTATTGAGGCTTGATTGACAAGCTACCTGAAGAATATTATTTCGATTTCTCGAAGTTGTCTATAGCCAATGGATCGTGGTATCTCGTCGTGACATAGGTGCCCCCGAATCGTCATTAAATATGTTCGTCGTCAGAAGGTGGGATATTAAACAAGTTTTCCGTAAACTCGTTTGCCATACTATTCTCAGCAGACCACTCATTGCGACGCCGATGTATCTCGCTCATGCCTTCGCATGCCGTCTCGGCGATAAAATGTAACTCATCAAGAGTGTTGGAGTTGCAATTTGGGAACACGCCATCGATGCTGCGTTGCCACTCTGACGTGGAATTGGCGACAGCCGTCTGATACGCATTAGTATCGTATTCAACCACCCCCAGTGCACGATTCCGTGGGAGCAGATTGTTCAGAAGACCGTCGAACAGAGCGTCCGCAGGAAGGTATTCAACTGCATCTTTAGTAAGAGCCGTAGGTTGGCGGATTCCCATGACCACTTCAACGAAGCGCTGAGAGATGCTTCGACCAAGACCACAGGGGTCAATGAGGTCAAACTCTGGCTGTGTGGGCATATCCTCGAGCATGTAGTGATCGTAGGCCAGGAAAGATGCTCGGCAGATTCCCAGATGTGGTGTTGCACATCTCAGCGCCATAGCAATCCAATGGCAGTCATCCCCTGGACGTTGGTTGGGCATACCAACCCAAAGGATTTTCTTAGAATCCTCGTTCCAGTCGCGCGATTGCTCGACCTTGAGATATACTTCGTTCAAATAAAGCTCTCGAAGTGTGTTTCCAAAATTCTCCGCCGTACGGACAAATACCTCTGGGCACAGCTCGATCCGTTTGAGCTCCAAGCATGTGAGATTGGAATGTATGATGCTAGGCGCCGGTAATGACTTGGCACGCCACTCGTCAACAGGCATCTGCCAGAATTTCGTCTGTTTCAGCCCTCGTGGTGGGCGGTCATCGTGGTCCATCCCTACCAAGCACAGACTCTTGAGCTCTCCCGCGTTCTCAACGAGGTTCCAAAGGCATGATCCGAATAGTCCCACGGTCATGGGCTCGTTCTCGTGTCGCCGTAACGTCAAGACGAGGTGTTCCAACACTTCCAAAACTTTCATGATGTTCATTACATCGATCGGATTCATCCAGAGGTGGCGTATGGCTACATCGGTCACATTCTCTACGACGAGTGTATTGAGCTTCGCTGAGTCTTCCTCGGGTCGCTGCGCAAAGGCTTTCAGTGTGTTGGCCAGGATCATTGTGGCGGCGTTGCAATGGCGGCCGACGAGCTGGAAGGGGAGGTTGAGTCGTAGGCGGTCAACGTCACGGCAGTAGAATAACATCTCCTCGACCTTCTGATAGTAATCTGTCTCCGTGAAAGATGCTTCATTCATGCAGTACTTTTTGTGTAGTGTTTGACAAAAGTCAGCCATGGACGGGACTCTTGCAAATACGGTATCAAGGAACTCGACTTCCACTGGCAATCATCAGTTAGCCACCACATGTGCGCAGGCCTGGGGTCGGACACTCACGGTCATCTCTCAGAACCATCAGGTCAATGTACAGGCTCTTGCAATGATATCCTATCGTCTGGAGTGCGTCTATTTGTGGGTGTTCTATACCGCTCGTCTTGCTCAGGCGCGAGAATTCCAGGTCCAGAGTACGGCATGCGAACGGCTTAAGAATCTGGTCAAAGACGCGGCAAACGAGCCGAAGATCGAGGACCGCATTCTTGGGGCCATATTCGATGCATTGCTGAAGTATCGCATCGATGAGTTCTCGTGGTAGGCGATTCATGATAAGCAATGTCTTGTATGGTTCGGCTGATTGTGGGAATGAGAGGAAATGGATGGGTCAGCAGCAGTTGATGTGCATCGAGCGCTGCTGTGCGGCTTCAGATTTCATTCGAGAGTTGCATGGAAGAGAAGTCAAGGCCTTTAATTTTTGTCGGAACATAACTCATCAAGCCTGTCTCGTAGGGCGGAGAACGTTTGGTTGACGGGCAGACACACGTTCTAAGGACCGTGAATACCCAGGTAGGTAGTTGAAGTTGAAGTTGGAGTTGTTAGGTTGGGCTATCAACCAATGGAGTTCAGGAGCTGAGATCATCATGCAGGGACCCAACCGCGTTACTTGACGCCTGGGGAGCTCTCCACCCCCGCTGATTCCAAGCGTCGCATTTTAGTAGGGTGCTAATGAAGTCAGCTACCCTGTACCCAACTACCTACTTCCATCTGGAAGTGTGATATTGGTATGTCCTCTCCGGTTGATAGAAACGCCAGTTCCTGCCTTTCCCGGTCTTTGGGGTTTTTATCTTATTTTTTATTTTTGTATTCTTAAAACATCATGTGTTGAATAATGGAAGAGTCTCGTTCGTGACCCAAGGGCGGTCAGGTGGTGGATGTGTGTTATCAACGATACAGCTAATGGGTTGCGATAATGCCCAATGTTGACATCAAAATCCAAGAATTCACCGAAATTGTTTGAACAATAGGAACGAACAATCCCCCAACCCAAAGCAAGCCCCGAGTTCTTCACAAAAAGCGCGCGACAACGAGCCTGGTTGAACCATATGAAAACTGAAGACTCGAAAGTTGGTGTTGTTTATTATGAATACTCCATGATGACGGAAGATTGTGTTGTCTTAGATATGACAGAAAACCACATGGGACTCGGAAAATCGTGCCGAGCCGCCAGGGAATGCAACGAGATACTCATGTAAGACCGTAATTACTCTCTGATCGAGACGGGAAAAACGGCACCATGCTATGCTCCCAGAAAAGGAGAACCGCTTTTGCGGAATATCGGCAGACATGAACTGGAACAAAAAAGCCGTTGATTCTAGCCGCGTAAGAGCCAGTTCAACTCAAATCCACAGTACTCTTGCCATACGCTGTACGCGTAGGTCGATGACAACGCCTGAACGGCTCCCTTGGCAGCAGTTGAGGAGAGGTGAAGTTAAAAGGCGGCTAGTAACGTTAGCCATCCGCGATGTGGCTGCAGGGGCGCTAAAAGAGTCCAGAATTCTGCAAGCCCGGGCAACCTCCTAGCTCATCGGATGGCAACAGGAAAAGCCCTCGTGATAAAGAGTATGAGAGGCTGGTCAACCGCAGAGCTGCCAACAGCAAAGGCAAAAGAAAGCCACCTCCTAGCCGCAGCACTAAACTGATGGTCACAGATAGGGTTCTAAGATCCTGAAATCATCTAGCCTCTGAGCATTCTCTCGTCTCGCCCTTAACATGGTAGTTGGTAGCCAACAACAACAGAAGATTCAAATCGCAGCGAATGATACCTACCTACACAGCCATGTAGCTTCGCTGGGCCATAGGCCTGAATATCTCTAGGCCGCCAAGGTGATTCCTAAGCCAATAATAAGTCATGTCCTCCCTGATGGGCAACTTATAACAACAGCCACAGATACTGTAGGTGGCGCTGAGTTGATCGTATCTGGGGTGCTAGTGAAGTTTCTCATTGGCGAAAACTGACACAAGCTTGTCAACAAGACCTCGTTTGAAGGCCGGCCCCAGTTTCATCGTGGGAAATTGAGAATCAATGAACGATGCGGAGTTCCCAGGCCGTGGCCCCTCAACCTGGTCACGATAAACCAACTCCAGATCAACTCCATACACAGACTGCCAGTGACTTCAAGAAGAAAACAGCATATTGACATCTGAACAGGGGAGAGAAGATGGTCAGATTAGTTCGGTACGGGGATAATGGAGTGACGCACTTTACATGGGACGAGACAAGGGACAAGGGAACATGGATCAAGGGTGGATAAGGAATTGCGCTAGCCAAGTCCTTTATCATCCACTCGTCACTGCCTATCTATGCTTGTTGAGCTGCTTCTTCGGTGAAAAGCGAGAGGGGGAAAACAATACCACGATGGGGCATTTTATTTCTCTGCCAGATGTGAAGAGTCTCGAAGTTGTTGAAGATCGATACAACGAATCATGAGGTCTTTTTACTGACAAAGGGATTCGACTCCCAAAACCGCTTTGAAACTCCAGTATCATAATTTAAAGAAATGGCATGCAAGGGCTGTAAATGAAGGTAGACATGGTGGTTGGAGATAGCCTACCCAACCTAGGGGAGGAAAGAAAACACGAGACCTCGATCCTAAATGACAAAAAGAGGTAGGTAATATAGCCTAAGCTTAGGATAACTTTTGCTAAGTTTATTTTGACACCATACAGTAAGGTTTGCTGTTTTCTTGCCCCCCGAGGGCCAACATGAAAAAAGGTCCGAGTGCCTGATACAACCATCGGCGCTGAAATGCCGTGACCCCGTTGGAGAAAGAGTCGCATCTTGGCGAATTTCTTTCTCCATGAGCAAGTGACATGATAATGAAAAGTGCCTTTGCCTTTTCCCGTTTGTTCCGGAATAGCGCGCCTGGGCAGACCGGTGTCCATTTCTTTTAGTCGCGCAGCAAAACCAGCCTCTCGCCAAGTAAACATTGCCCAGCCAACCCCCCCAATTGCAGTTGTTGCAGAGATAGAATCTCGAACTGTGTATTCAGAAACAATTATACTTCTGCTTCTGCTCTTGTTCCTGTTGCGAGCACGGAGAAATACGGCGATATGGTAGGCCAATAAGATGGTCCGTGCCAGAAATCAGAGACAATGGTGATGCAAAACTTCGGAAATCATTGGTTCGTCTTATATATGGGCCTGCAATCTTTAGATGCTGGGCGGACTTTTTGCTCGCCTGTGAGAACCGACGAAACCATGGCATAGCTCTCTAATATCTAGGTAATTATGAGAATTGCTGGCAACACAAAGCCTACATTTTGGCTTCAGTACCGCAAATCGCAAAAAAAAGGACGAGCCTTTAGGCTATTCACGAAGCACATTATTATAAAGCTGTTTGTTGTAAAAGAAGAAAAATATTTTCCTAGGTGGTTGACCCTAATAAAGGCCGCCATATTTTCCCAGTATACCATAAATGCAGTTGCTGGGGAACCCTTGTGCTTGGAGACTTTCAGTACATACGTGTTGGACTGAGGGTGAGTGATGGGTGATGACGAGACTGAGATTGGATTGTAACTGGAACCGGACACCGCTGGAATCTAGCGCGATATCGAGAGCTCAACCTAGTGCCCGTCAACGTGCATGAGAAGATCCTGGTCACCCATGAGTGAGTGACAATTGATTGCTGATTGTGTCCCACTTGTTCGGTCCCAGCCGCTTGCCTGGGCCTTGTCACTCCATGCGAGACGGGATTTTACCCGAAAAGGATGAACGACATCTCGATCGTCAATATGGGAGGCGACCAAGGCGCAGCATTGCTTGGCTTCATGAGTTCTCAAGCTCTGGAACCTACCTTGAGTACATGGAAAATCATGGTGGTTGAGTAGCAGCCATCGCGACTAAAACGGAAATGGCGCTGGCCAAGCTCGACTAGGGTCAAGATGGTGTGAGTGGTGAGTGGCTAAGACAGGGAAGGTGTGGGTACGATGTGACCTCTAGCCGAGCTGTGCCTGTGCGTTTTTCCCTTGTTGAGAGACGGGGAGAGTTTTGCAGCGAAGTCAATGGCGGATGTCACCAGGAGGATATTCTATTGGCCAGATAGCCCCTCGACTTGCCCGAGATGGAGATTCCCATGGGTTACGGGTTGTGGGCACTTCATGCCGCGGCCGAGTTCCAGTTCGAGTTCCATCGATCTCAGTGCTGTTTCCCAGTGTTTACAGAGGCCCAAGGTACCTACCCTAGCTACCCAACTGAGTCTGGAAGCACGGTCTTGTCTAAGGCGAGCAAGGTAATCAAACCGAGGCCAGTCGCAAGTGACGGCACCTGCCCAGACAAAGCCAAAGCCAAGGGACACAGAAAGTTAGCCTGGTTAGCTACTATCCACACCTGCCCAAACTCTGTTGCTGTTTCTTTCCCGTCGTTTAAAACCTACTCTCCGCCTCGTCTTTCTCTTCTCTTCCTTCCGCGTTCCGTTTGCATCAGAAGACCTCTTGACCCAGAGCATAAGAAGGATTTCAACCTCAATTCTTCCACTTGCAAAATCAACTTGTCACAAAACATCGATTCATCATCGTTCCACTTATTGTATCGCCTTCACCACGATAATCACCTCACAATAGATCCATAAACACTCTACCCAAACATTATTCACGATGCGTTCATCTTTTGCCCTCCTCGCCATGGCCGTCTCGGCCGTCTCGGCCCAGTCTGTCCAGAACTATAAGAGCTCCCTTGACATGACAATTGACCCCAATACTGTGGATCTCGCTACCCGATGTACGTACTGAGAATAGAAAACTGACAAATGTTCACCGGCGTGCTAACATTTCACAGCTTCCTGGTGTGGTGCCCAGCAGAACACCTGTGATGCTCTTTGCAAGGACGATACCAACGAAAACAAATGTACCGAGGTATGTAGTACTGTTCAATTTTTTGTTTTCGTCAACTTGAAGGATGCTAACACTACGTCAAGAACGATCTCAAGTGGGAATGCACCTGCTCCTCTAACAGCTCGACCCCCGGTCTCCAGTACTACACCCAAACGATGCCTACCTTCATTTGCGAGGAGCTTTTCAGCCAGTGCATTTCGCAGAACACTGGCAGCCAGTCTGGCCAGAGGGAATGCACTTCCAAGATCGAGGACAAATGCGCCAAGCAGAACCCCCCTAAGGACGTGGTTAGCGACGATGACGGTACTTCCAGCACTGCTACCGACACTGCTACTACATCCGCCACTCGTGCCTCCTCGGAAGCAGCTACTGGCACTGCTGCGTCCGTGACATCGACGTCGTCCGATGCTTTCGCTGCCCCTACCATGGCGCCAGCGGGCAGAGGTGCGGCCGCCGCTGTGGCTCTCGGCATGCTGGCCTACCTCATCTAAGTGTTGGGAGGTTTAAGCATGGGGTGCTGCATCAGCAGTGCTACGGCAATATCCTGGCGCCCCATCATGTGCCATCCTTGGCCGATGAGTAGCAGGCCAGAGCGTATCCTGTGCACCGTTCTCCACTTCTCTTGCCCATTTTATTTTACAATACACCTATTCGACGTGCAATGCGATACCTTTTGATGAGTATAAGACCCAACGATGTAGCTTTGTTAAAGCTTGGATGAGGTAATGACACGCTTCGGCGTACCGACTGGCGGGTTGAAGGACCGGGGGTGCTGTGTGCCTTTCATGGGGACGGCCGAGAGGTGCACTGGGGAGGGTGGCGGTTATTTGTTTATGCTTTACAATTCAATACGTTCATAGCAAGAGGCGAAAGGAGTAGGAAAACTCGATTACTTTGAACAAGACAAAGAAACAATGGCTTGACCATGAGCTCTTTGAAAACCCTTTGGACTATGGGTGTTGTGCCAATTCTTTGTGATTGTACAATGCATTACTGGGATGTTCTCCTCGACTCAGTGTGTGCTGTTCTTCTGAGCTGCCGAAGATGACAACTGTAGGTCTCCGAACATGTCGGCTTGGTAGCATGCTAATGACTAACGGGCAGGGGCCGAACTGTCTCAAGGCATGTATATATAAAGAGTCGATGTCATGTCCTGGGCGATTGGGCTCAAGCAGCCAAAGGGATCTGGTATAGAAAGTCGAAGGTTGAAGCATCATACATTTTGACAACTCTGGAACAATAGAGCAAGCCCTCTGTTGACCACAGAATCATAAGGACCATATCTCATCTTGGGGAAGCAAAACAGTACCACCAATACTGGGAATCAACCTGCTTCCGAGCAGCAAGGCAAGATGGAGCCTCGCGGTACCAAAGAGACGGACCATAAGCACGACGACAGTTATACTCGGCCTCCACGCGTCAGCTTCGGTTTTGAGCTAGAATTCCTGGTGGCTGTAAACCCAAGGGAAGTTGAAGCAGATGACAGCATTCCTGGCCTTGCGCCAGCCACGGGCCATCATGATGGCGTAACAGCAGTTCTAGAACTGCTACGAGATCATGAATTCTGTGCAAGGACGGTACAAGAGGATTCCGTCGCAAATAAAAGTGAAACGAAGGAATATCCATGGATCGTCACGACAGACGGTTCAGTGTCAGAGTCTGGAACAGAGTGGAAGAAGGAGGCTTATGCATGGGATGCGGTGGAGATAGCAAGCCCACCGATGTATGCTTGTGATGAGGCATACCGGCTCGTGTCAGTTGTTGTTAGACTTTTGACTAACAACTTACGTCTTCGGGTCAATACCTCGTGTGGCTTCCACGTTCATGTCGGCAATGGGCCCCATCAGATGGACATGCATGCATCGAGAAACTACGCGGCCCTCCAGTGGGCATCCGACCCGGTGCTATCTACTCTCCATTCCCCGGCGCGAAGTTTTGCTCGTTACTCAAAGTCTATCCGGCGCTTTACTGGTGTTGACTTGAGTGGCAACGTGACTGCCGACGTGGCACGGCGAGAGGCCAAGGGGCTGAATTTCATACCTCGATACATTTCACGGGCGAGGAAGCTCGGAGAAGATCCTGTTGCTTCTAACGTGGTACTGATCGAACGTCTTCGCGAAGCCCGCGAGAAGGAAGACGGTGGAACAATCCTGGATCCTGAGTGCGAAAGTGATGGTTCCGACTACGAGTGCGAAGACGGCAGACCTTTCGATCGACCAAGGAAGGCCAAAGGGGTTGGGCGAGAAGCTCGTTATATGCCCTACGTCAGAGAGTTTATCAACGAGGACAAGGCTAGACGTTTAGATGATGAGTCCAACTGTGCCCGCCGTGATCTACCTCCACAGCTCGATTTTCCAGCCTCCCAGTGCATCGCTTCTTGTGGGTCATCTGAAGGCGTGCCTTTGCTAGACGAGCAACGGAAGAGAATGAAGGCTGTATCTAGGCAAGCGGACATCCCATCACCGGTTTATGAAATGGACCACGACAAAGGTGATGACGATGATGACTCACTGAAAGCATCAAAGATTGCTTGGAGAGGAGTCACCGAGCTTCTGGCCTGCGACGTGGGCGTGCATCAGGTCGCACATCTCATGTGTGACAATACTACTTTTGAGAAATATTACAGTTACAACTGGAAAGGCCAGTTGAGGGATGAGATAGCGCCCATGGTCGGAAAGGAGACTCACGGCACTGTCGAGTCTCGGCTCGCACCCGGCAGCCTCGATGCCGAATGGATCGTCACTTGGATCAAGATACAGTGTCGTATGCTCGAGTGGGCACGGGACGCGGACCCTTCACAGCTGATGCGTGTCATTGGCAAACTCTCCCAGGACGATGTATCTCGCGAGTCCACATACGACGTCTTGGACTTCCTTAGGGAGCTCGGTATGTATACCGAGCTCAAGCACTGTCAAGAACGTCTGCTCAGAGCTGAGGAGGCATGGTTCGAGTGCACGATGCTGTAAGTCCGTGGCTCCTCTTACTTGGACGCATCACCTTATCCAGAGACTCGGGGCGCTTCTGACGAAGACGGGGGAGATGAGTGGCAAGTTCCCTTGAATCCAGATTTATTGAGCCATTGGTGAGGAATTGGACGACAAATGTCGTTCAACAGTAGTTAACTGACTCTGCGGTTGAATGAGGCATGATGAACCAAGCACCTTGTTTACGTATCTTGTTCCCCCCTTTTGTTGAATATAATAGTTGATTTGTTTGGCGAGGTACCTACCCCATGAGTTTATATCTTTATTTTCCATTTAGGACAGCCAAACTATACTAGATCAAGCAAGCACTTTCCGTGGTAATGTCGAAGAAAGAAGTGATACTTCTAATATGTACAGAATGCACATAGAGTTCCATTGTGGTTCGGCGGACCACGAAACAATTGCTCTGTCAAACCTTGGAGATACCTACCCTACACGAAGAATTTGAATCAATGTCCTGTAAAGAAGTGGACTCACCGCCTCCTACTATTTTTCTAGCCCTGCAAGACTCCTGAAACACAAGCATAAAGCTTGACGACATTTATTCATGGCGTTGCAGGTTTGTGGCTTGAACTATTCTCGGGAATAACCTGGACAAGGGGAGCAAGACCGTTTGTGCGTGGCTTGACGAGTCATTCATCACCAAAACAAGCAATGATCAGTTGTACAATCAGAATAACGCCTCCGAAGAAAGACGGGCTTCGAATAATCCCAGATACAGTGGCGTCTAACATACTGCAACACAATGTGACATGACACATTTTCACTCTGATCCTAGGTTGTAGAGAAGAAAGACTGTGGACATGATTTCAAGCGCTGATTATTCTATACGCGGACCGAGCTCCATAGCCGAAGCATGAATAAGAGGGTGCGTAGTGTGTATTGTTGGTGGCTGATGAGGCACGTAAACATATAGTATAGTGACCCGAAAATAGCATGGTCTGTTTTATGCAGAATGAAGCAGAATACAACCCTACACGGCGATAGCATTGTAATGTCAAACAGCCAAGATCGTGATGGGTGTATCAAGTCAACCCAAGTCCAATATCAAACTCGGGTAAAGTTAACCACTGGAAGGTCTCGACGGTAACGGAATCGAGAATCGGGCACGGATCTGACCGGGAACTGATAATAATGAGAACAACCATGTGAAACACAAAGGCTCATGATGGGTGAGAACTAATCAGCCACGCGTGAGGCCATGGTGGTATTAGGTATTAGATATTAGGCTTATACTGGTGACAGGCTGTCAGCAGCGGCATGACCTGGCAAAACTCGGCTGTCGATAGTCGGGTGGAAAAAATAAATCAAATAATTAGCGGCATTTACTGAAAGAAAACGATCGCGAAAGAGCATGATGATTTGGTGGCAACAACACAGTAACTCGCATGCCACGTTTCATGCGGCCAACCTCTGCGACCCTAACTTACCATGGGCTTAGGTAGGTTGTGTTCCAGGAACCGGCCCAGGAACGGCAATGGACCAACAGATTTCCTTTAACCAGCCGTGACCAACTTTTGAGGCCTTCTACTCTGCCTCAGCCCTAGAAGATGTTTGCCGTACGGAAGCAAGAGCCCTGACCACGGCCTTGGGATGCGAAATAACAGGACAATCAAGGTTTGTGCCACCCTACGATCTGCTGGCACCGCACACGGCTTGTTCATGGTTTCTGCAGCTGTCATTTGTCCAAAGATCCCTGCCTGATCACACAAACCGGTGAACTGTCTTTTGTGCCTCGTGCCCGGCCGGGCGGTTGAAGAGCCGCATCGCCTTGTGTGGAAAAAGAAGAATAAGGAGTCTGTGTAGCAGAGACTCGGTTAAGTTGGGCCGTAGCGATCAAGAAAGCAGTCGTCCATGTAACAACTCTCAACTTCACGGTGGGTATCTTTGTTTTGTGTGTCTCTGCTGGATTGGACCGAGGGATGATACGTGAAAGCGAGTCAGCCTTGAGTGCATTAGCTAGGGACATAGGCATCACTATAGATGGAGACCAAAGTCAACCAACCCTTCCTTCTCGTGGCAAGGAGAAACGGGGCCCCTTTCACAGAAGAATCAGACACCCAAGGCTCTGTGAAGATTGTGGAGGAGTTGACACCTGAACGGTCTGTTCTTGGTGTACCTACGTGACCTCTTGACTGCAGTCGAGTTGCAAGTCTCGAATTAGCCACCGTGAACGAAATATTGGTGGAGAACTGGCCAACAAACGCAAGCCAATGCAGTCCACTCCAGTGCTTGCAGAGTTTGCATCTTGAGAAGAGCTGAACGATCAAAAAGAGAAAGAGAAAGAGAAAGAAAAAGAAAGCCGTCATGATCCATTGTTTAACGGACCTAATGAAGCTTCGAAATTATCAGAAGCCTCGAAAAATACAAACCACAGTCCTCCAGGACGAACTCATCCATCACCTTGAGCAGGGGTGATGCCTGCGCCGAACCCTGCCAACCTAATTTAGCATGCCGCAGCCTCACAACCGTGCAAAAGCCAAGACCAGCCACAGCCATGGAATAGACATTTGGAATGGCCTCTTCATCTTTTACAGAGACAGTGTCGGTAGTCTTTCTTCCTTGGACACACGACTCATGCTATGGCTAGGTTGTGTCTATCAAGACAGACTTGTTCGTTGCGTGCAAGACCATACTTGAAATACGTTGTTGGCTTGCCAAGTATCATCTGCCACTGGGTCCGTTGCTCATTGAACCCGAGACTTCCGTGAGTATCAAGCAAGAGGGGACATCGGTTTCCCTCATCAAGGTTATAATTAGCAAGTTTCCGTTCAATTCCAATGCTCTAGGCCCTTTGTCAAGAAGCCGCAGGGTCTCATTGCATGCAGATGATTGCGTCGGGATGGACAAGCGAATGATCGCCATTGAAGAACGTTATGCAAAGCTTGCTTGCTGTATCGAGGGCAGATTAGAAATCAGTGATTACCTGAAGGTTGAGGAAGCGAAGGATCACTGTACTCCGTACATGCATTAGTAAAAGCCGACCTGACCAAGGACCATCTCACGTCTCGTCTGGACCCGTTCGCGATGCAATGTTCAAAGTGGAGCAACCCGGCGTTTGAAACGGCGGGGGAGGAGAAACACACTTACATACACTGAGTGGGTTTGCAATGACGCTGATGTGCTCTCGGCTGTGAACTAGTTGGTTATATCCCTTGTCTGGTATCAATGAACATGTACATACATACATATGTGTGGTAGCATCAGCTGCAGGGCCCTGGAAGATGCAGTCATGTCCCATGTATGTACAAACGTGCCTTCATACCTACATGGTACGAAATTGAGAGTGCAGCCGTCGCTTTGTTGTAGGCCGTTGCGTTATTTCCATGCCGTGAGAAATGACAGACACGGAACTCACAAGTTCAATCTAAACCACGGCAGCCTCTAAGCATAGCACAGATAATAAGTTTGTCAATGTCGTCGTCCAGGTGCCAGCAGAATGAAGACGGACGGGAAGAGGAGCCACCGAGATGGCCCGTCCACCGTTCCATCCAATATATTCTGATGGGAATTGCAACCCTCCATTTTGATATCAACTCCATCTGTCCACTCACAATGATTCCTGCTTGGTGTTCGACTTTGTATGTATACGGAGTACTACATGGTAATCAAACTCACCCGCTCGATCCTGTCACGGGCTCAGCCTCGTGCCGCACGTGGACCAGCAGAAAGAGAAGATCGGGGGATTGCTGTCCCGAGGCCCTTGAGCTACTACTGCAAGTCATTTCCTGATGGTGTCGGTCGTCATGATGTTAGAGGAGAAGGGCCACGACGAATGGCACGACAAGGAGGATGCGGACTTTGGTCTTGAGAGATTCTTCCAGTCCCGCCCAAGTCGCGACAGAGGAGAACACTGATAGGTGTCGAATTCGACCAACCAGCGGCCGACCCTGTACCTCAATCTTGAAGGTATGTATGCCCATCTCTACCCCTCACAGATTTTGCCATGATCAGGAGGGCTCGTGCCTTGCAGTAGAACTGCGATCAGGTAGGTCAGAAAGGCCTGGGCGTGGCTGGCTCTTCAGCCCACTTCAGTTGAGGTGTGCTCTTCTGGCCAACCGAGGGCCTTGGTCTCAGTCGCCCACCACCTTTTTTTTTCCTGGACGGGTTTACTGTACTCCGTACAATACAAACCAATGCACAGCTGAACGGCAGCAGAGAGCCAACTCATGGTGCTAGCGGTTCGTGGGATGTGGAATGAGAGGCTTGGCAGGAGCTCCATCATCCATCAAAGCCGTATCACGGTGGTAGTAGTCTCATCGAGACCTCAGTACGGTATGCTTGCCCGTTCGCTTTTACATTAGTAGTGGCCGCACGTTGTTGTCAAGCTGACGAACACCCTGAAGCTGCTGGGGCTCGTCCTGCCTCTAGATCTATCTCTGAAGAAGCGGTGTATGCCGTAGGAGCTTTTAATGGAAAGAAGCTCACCAGCATCCTCAGACCTGAACTAGGCGTACCCCTGTTTGTCCTCTCCACACTTGAAATGGACATGGACATGGATCTAAAGGTATAATGGTTCATCATAAACCCCCCTAATGAGCATCCGATCTCAATACTGGCCAGCAAGTGGCATTGCTCAGCCTTCTCAGGTCATGAGGCAACAAACTCTGTAAAAGCGACATGCGTACATATCGACTGACTGACTAAATGTGTAATTGATGCGCCCTGAGGAGTGGATAGCAGTTGGCTAGAGCTTAAAGAATTGAGTTGCGGGAGAAAGCGAAGCCGATCAATTAATTAATTGCCTGGTAACAAGTCAGACTCGTCGAAAAAGGTGTTGCGCTAGAAGGAAGAATCACCCTCTGAGACCGGCACCGGACAGAAGAGGGTTAGCCGCAGAGTATCATGACCAGAGAGAAAGGGAGAAAAAGACTAACCACAAGATCTGACTGTGCCGTCCCGCTGATAGGCTCTTCCCGCCCGTGAATCACGGTATAGTTTCGCTTGGCTTCTCGGAGGCCATGGCTCACTCGGGTTAAGCG